ATCTTTGTTTCTCCGTCACTCCTCACGTGCAACTCACGTGCTCAATGATCTTTTCTCTCTTTATTTTATTTTATTTCCTCCGACGACAAATGGACTCCAAAGCCCAGCACAAGCGCGTGACTTAGCCGTTCCATCACTGAAAGCCGGCCTTTCCGTCAAAGCGGGAGCGATTGATACTTTCACGTGCCTCTGCAAGCGTGGTGCTGCTCTTATAGCCCCTCTAATTGTCGTTTAGGACTTGTTAATAACGATTTACGACATGATTTAAGTGCGTGCTTATTGTCGTTTAGTGTGTTTGACGTTTCAAAAACCTGGTGATTTCGGTTTGCCCACAAATCAAACGACGAAACGGATCCTCAGCAGCATGGTCATTGGTCAAACCGTAATTATCTTAAAAAGATTTGACCAAACTTATAATAATAAGAAAGGTTGGGTCTAAATTTAGAGGAAAACAAAGTCTAGAACTCTGTGTTTTGTGGATTATTTTGTGTGCCTAATTGGGTTTTATTAGGGTGTCAACACAATTTTTTTCTTAATTAGATTAGGTATAAATAAAGATAATTGACTGGTTATTAGTTAATGGGGTTAGTTGAAAGATAATTTAATTATAATTATTGGGGGATGCATGATGTACCTAACGCTTGGCTAGGGTAGGTTGTACTTGGTGATTAAGAAGTTGAAGGAAGGAGGAGAAAATGAGAAAATGTCAAGAGGCAGAGATGGTGATTAATTAACCACATGGGTAACTGAAAAGGAAAGAAAGATGATTAGGGAGTGACCATTTTGTCAGCATTTTAAATTACATAACAAATAATGGAGATTTGACAGTTTGTTGGGCTGTTGGAGATCTAGAAGCCTATCCATGCAAAAGCTCTTTTGAACCTGTGGTCACTTCTCTATGATGTGAAGGAGGGTTTTGCTTGTGTCAATCTCCTACTCAAAAGAAAAGTAGGTTTCTTTTGACGTACACTCACCACAAACAATTTTAGAATTAGACTCCATAAGCTCAAACTTATCTCCCTCAACAACAAAAATTACGCTTATAAAGTTTGAATTGGACTTTTGTCCTCATATACATGTATGAGTAAAACTTTTACAAAGCGAATGTGTTGTGCTTGCCTCTTACATAAAGAGTGTGAGACTCACAAATTCCTAAAGATGATTCCATATGCCTATAATTGTGAAGACGGGCATATTAGTTTGGTTTCACACCTTTTTGGTTTTCGTGTAGGTATTGTTTTTCTTGATAAGATGACATGCTTTAAGATTTGGTTATTTGATTTTTAACGTAGTTTGGGTGTATTCATGGATAGAGTTTGAAGTTTCTTCTACCTAGGTCCCTTAATGCGCGGATAAATACTCTTAATTACTTTATCTATAAACTTTTTGCTACGCGAGGTATTACATTTATTTATTTTTTATATATTGATATTTTAAACTACTCTAGAATACAAGGAGACGAACACACTGCTCTAGTTCAGATGTGCAGTGTTTGGTTGTATTAGTTACTTATGCTAAAGCTTGCTTGCGTTTGCAAGCTTAGAATAAAAAGGTAGTCGTGAATGTGAATGATATGTTTTTGTCACATTCAATTGTTTTGTAGCCTAAAAATGCATTATCAGCCGAAAGCCCCACCTTATATTGTCAAGCAAGTTGCGCACTACCATGTGAATTATTCAACTCTACCCTGTATTGTGTAATGCTTCACGTGATACTTGATACCACCCCAATCCCGACGACAAATGTAAAATGTTAGTGAAGCTAGCCAATAAAATATATATATATATATATAAAGAAAAATTAGCGTATAAAATACAATAGAATAACAGAGGAGTTCGGGTTTGGGTGAAAAACTTAGTTGCAATGTGTTATCTCTGACCAATAATGCTATGATACATAAAAGTATTACCATGCGTGTTATAACGTTATTGGTCAGAGATAACAAAATAGTATTATTCCCGTTTTATAGAAGTCTTTTCCTAAATTTGAGATTGCTTGGTTATAAGGGTGAGTACGGTCCAATTAGATTGGTTTTACTCTTAAATTTTTGCCAAATCGATTACAAATGAACGATTTGATTCAGCTTAAATTTTTTTTTTAATAAAAAAATCATTGAAGAAAGAAAGAAATTAACCCTTTTTTTTTTTTTTTTTTTTGTCGTTTGGGCTGTATGGGCCTAGGACCAATCCTTTTTTCATTTTGCATATTTTCAACTTCGTTGATGACAAAAGAAAAATGCATAACTATTTTTCATTTAGTAGCACATTAAACCATCATAAAATTCAATACCACATCAAACTTAAAATTTTCAATAACTAATATAATTACAACCTAAAAATCAATTACGTCAAAGTATACGTCAAAATTCAACATCCATCTAGTTATTAGCCAATAAAAAGACTACACATGTAGATAAAGATAAATAAGTGGTCGGTCCGATTCGATTTATGTAGATATATAAAGGAAAATTAGGAATTAGACATAATTAACTTTAGTAATTTGGATTTGAGACATTAGGTATTTTGGTTTGGGTTTTAATACCCATAAAAGAATATGTATTTTGGATTATGTAAAAGAAGAGGCTCAGATTCGTTGGCCTCTTCTTTGGCCCACCTTATATTAATCACTGAAAAGACAATTATATCCTTTTTATTAAAATATTTATTGGTCTCCCTTTTTGATCATATTATCTATCTCTCTCTCTCTCTCTCTCTCTCTCTCTCTCTCTCTCTCTCTCTCCGCAGCATTATATTTCTTTATTTTTGCAGTTTTGGAAATTACATTGCAGTTTTGGTAATTATAATTGGATTTTTGCTCTTTCCTTGGCCTTCATCCTCACCAATTTGAAGAGTAAAGGCTACCCAAATGAGGAATTAGGTGGGCAAGAGAAGAGTAGAACTACCCAAGAGAAAGGGAACTCAAAATTGGACTTTTAGAAACTGGAAACTGCATTGCAGTATTGGAACTGCATTGCAGTATTGGAAACTGCATTGCAGTTTTTATTTAATTACAATTTGATTTTTGTTCTTTCCTTCTCCTTCAACCTTACCAATTTGAAGAGTAAAGGCTACCCAGACGAGGAATTGGGTGGGCAAGAGAAGAGTAGAACTACCCAAGAGAAAGGGAACTAAAAATTGGACTTTTAGAAACTGGAAACTGCATTGCAGTTTTTATTTAATTACAATTTGATTTTTGTTCTTTCCTTCGCCTTCAACCTCACCAATTTGAAGAGTAAAGACTACCCAGATGAGGAATTGAGTGGGCAAGAGAAGAGTAGAACTACCCAAGAGAAAGGGAACTCAAAATTGGACATTTAGAAACTGGAAACTGCATTGCAGTTTTTATTTAATTACAATTTGATTTTTGTTATTTCCTTTGCCTTCAACCTCACCAATTTGAAGAGTAAAGGCTACCCAGATGAGGAATTGGGTGGGCAAGAGAAGAGTAGAACTACCAGAAACTGAGATGTAGAAAACCAAAACCAGAAACTGAGATGCAGAAAACAAAAACCAGAAACTGCGATGCAGAAAACTGCAGAAAACCAAAACCAGAAACTGAGATGAAGAATCGGCTTCAATCATTGGTGGTCTTCGATGATGGTCGCGCGAATGGGTTGGTGGTCTTCGATGATCGTTGGTGGTCTGGAGGTTTCTGGAGGTGAAGTTGAAAGGTCGCGCAAATGGGTTGTGATTCAATTTTGGTTTCAGTTGATGTCGTTTTGGTTTAGTTTTGGTTTGATATCGTTTTTCAGCTTTGGTTTAACACTAAATACTGAAAATGGCATATGTTGTAATTTTCATATTTTGTAATGGTATTTTTGTTACATTTTAGTTTTTGGCCTTTTGCTAATTAGACTAAATTGTATTTCTTTCTACTAAATTAGCGCAATCGAACTGAACTATTACGATCAGGTTTGATTTTGAATGTTTGACTTTTTTTTTGGGTCAAATAAAACTGAAAATTCAGATTAAAAAATTTAATCAGTTTAGATGAATTGATGCGCACCCCCTACTTGACCTAGTTCATCTTCCTCAATCTCATCGCAACCGCATTTAAGGCCCCAGCATAACGTTATTGGGCTTAGACCACCACCGTTGACATGCAATATTCATACACACACGTGCTGTCTAAGTTCTTCGGAAAATTCAAAGACTGTGTCAAAAAAGTTGGTCATCGGCCAAGTTGAGTTGGTGGTGATGATAAGTTTAACACGTCAAAGTGTGTGGCTAGGGCAAATAATTTGATGGTTTGATTGGTTCTTCTTCGCGGTCAAATTAATTGAAGGCATTGGGGATGCAGTCTACAAAACTATCCATCCATATCCAAACTGTTAAGCATTGCAGTCCTACAATGGTTTAGGCGGCCACCAATCTCTTAGGCATCGGGGCTGGTGACCGGTCCAAGGCCACTCTGCATATCAGTCTCAACTTTCATAGACCGCCATTAGTCAATGGAAGAAGCGGCCGTCTCTCTTTCTCAATTGGTCCCCCAACAAAAAAAGACTCTGATGAGCAGAGCTTAGATTGGGGACGTTGGCCTTAAGACATTTTGCTTTCTATTTTTGTTATTTTGTCTAAGTATTTTAACATTGCATAACAAAAAAAGTATTGTTTTGGGATTCAACTGGGTTGTTTTGATTTTTTCAATTTTTTGTTACGTGAGAATGTATAGAATTGAAAAATCGGAAAATGGCACTAAAATAATTTCGAACACTAAGAATCAATTAGAACATGACAACGAAAACGGGTTTTTCCCCTCTAATTGAGCTCCAATAAGTATTTTGTATAAAACTTGTTGGGTTGCTTAAGCTAATTCACTGAGAATTAAAGAATGCAAATTGAAGCAATTTGCTTCGACGACGAAAATACTAAAAAAGGATAGACTGATCAAATTAAAAACAAATGGACAAAAATTTTTTTAAAAAAAGTGAAGTGATTTTTTTGACAGAAAAAAGAAGAGAGAGAAGTGAATTTATTTTGGTGAATTAGGATTTCCCGAAATTAAAATGCCACTGCTTGGGATTGCTGAGGGCTCCTGCGTCCATAATAAATTAACCACATCAACAACCGCAATAAAATAATAATAATAATAATAAATAAAAACCAACAGACAATCGAAAAACGAAAACAACCGAAGCGAATCTCAGAAGTAGTAGAAGAAGAAGAAAGTGAGGAGCTGAGAAAGCATGAGCAGCCCCGGGAAGCTCAAATCCTCAAGCTCCGAATTGGACCTGGATCGCCCCAACATCGAAGATTATCTCCCTTCCGGAGCCTCCATCCAACAAGAACCGCACGGCAAGCTTCGCCTGTAAAATCTCTCTTTCTTCTCTTCTATTTCCTTTGTGCTCTGTCTGTCTGGTTCTCCAGAAACCGTGGGAAAATGAGCAAGAATTTCATCAACTTATATACTTTCGCAGGCGTGATTTGCTCGACATATCGCCTACCCTTACCGAGGCTGCTGGAGCCATTATCGATGTAAGTGCTCGCTCTGATTCATTACTTTACTCATTGTATTGAAGATTCAATCATTTTAAGCTCTGATTTTATGGGGAGAAAGTAAATGATTGTGTGTTTGAGGCTTGAAGCTAGCTAGCTGAGTAATTAATGGGCTCTAGATTGCATTGATTTGGCCAATTTTTGTAAAGATGAAAATTTTATCGAATTTTAGTTCATGATTATGTTAATTCCTATGATGATCGTGAATGGAAATGAACAGGACTCATTCACAAGGTGCTTTAAGTCGAATCCTCCAGAGCCATGGAACTGGAATGTGTATTTGTTCCCTTTGTGGTGTTTTGGAGTGGTGGTTCGCTATTTCATTCTATTTCCTGCGAGGTTAGAATTTTCTATCTTCTGTCGGCAAATTCAAATGTTTCATGCATTCTTGCCATTGCACACTAGCTTTTGCATGAGTTTACCGGAATTACTCTGACTGATTCTGGATGGCTGTGCTTCCATGGTTATGGGATCTTGTATTATTGTTTGTTTAGTCGCTTAATGCAGCTCCATCAATTGTGCAGGGTTCTAGTATTGACTATCGGATGGATAATTTTCCTTTCATCCTTCATTCCAGTTAGAGGTGCAGATTCTTATCTATTACTTCTTTCCTTTAACTGATTTCTTCCCAAATTATGTGATTCCGTTTTTGTCAATCAGCATTGCATTTTTCCTATCTTCTGATAGTGAGGTTGGGTCTTTTTACCTGCTCTATATAGGCATCAGGTGAATTGATGTTGTATTGCATAATCTTCAAAAATTGCTCTAGTCATATAGGTCTACATATTCAATCTGTTTAAGCACTCTGAAAATTAGTAGAAATGTGTTTTTGCAAAGAACTTTCTTCTTCGTTCTCACTGGTTAGAACAATGATTTGTGGCAAGGCTCATGAAAAATTATCTAGAGTCACAACTGACTGAAAAATTTATGAGTAAACCATCCTTACATGAAAAATGAAGCAATGGTTTATATGACTAGTGACTAAATCATCTGTAATGACCCTCCGTACTTATTACGCTATGATGTTTGTTTTCTTTTCAGAGGTGTTTGGTGGAGTTGATTTGTAGCTTCTTTGTTGCCTCTTGGACTGGGGTTGTAAAGTACCATGGGCCACGGCCTAGCATGAGGCCTAAGCAGGTACTGTTTAACTCTAAACTTCCTTTTTACGATGTCATAAAATATTTCTGTATCATTTTATATGATCAATATTCATTTTTTGGATGCCTTTCTTGAGCTTTTCTTTCATGGTTTGAGCAGGTTTTTGTGGCCAATCACACTTCCATGATTGATTTCATCATCTTAGAGCAAATGACAGCATTTGCTGTAATTATGCAAAAGCATCCTGGATGGGTTGGTAAGTGTCAATGTTGCTATACATTTTCTTAATTAATTATTAAAATTATATAATTTGAAAAAACTATCAGAATTGGAGTATTATAGCGTTATCATAAATTATTGCTTATATATGTATTGGAAGTGTGGCTGCCAAAAGTTCAAAACATTCCAAGGACACTTGAGTTATGCGTATCCATGAAATTCAACAATTAACACGTGTGATTCATTTTTGAAAGTGCTAGGTTAGATTTGTCCAGTTTATGTAGTGTTTCTACAGTAATGATCCATCTTAGATGTGTAGGTTGTTCAGGCCATTGATGGAATTGAAGTTTTCTGGCTTTGCATGCAAATGTCTTGTTTTCCTGGGTTACAATATGAACGTGATAGTGTTACCGTTTCTTAGTCAAAGAAATGTCCCTTCTGTAGTAGTTTTCTTCTTATGCATTGATCATTGACGTCGTTCAAGTAAAATTGTCTAATTTTGAACTTTGAATGAGGAGTTTTGGGCCTTTTTGGTTGTCAGCACTTTTCCATTGTTTCATACCAGAAAGAGTGGATTTTGAACAATCTAGAATGGCAAAAACTATGTTTGTTTTTCATTATTATATATACATAAGAAATGGAATCAAATTGAGGATTCTCTTCTTTTATGCTTCTTGTGAAGGATTGTTGCAAAGCACTATTTTGGAGAGTGTAGGATGCATTTGGTTCAATCGTTCAGAGGCAAAGGATCGGGAAATTGTTACAAAGAAGTAAGAACCAATAGAAAGTGCACAGTAGTTTTTTCTTCTCTTTTTAACTGCACCATTGTCCATGTCATTGTTATACGAACTTGTACTTGTTCCTTTTTTCAGATTAAGGGATCATGTGCTGGGGGTTGACAATAACCCTCTCCTTATATTTCCTGAAGGAACATGTGTAAACAATCACTACACAGTTATGTTTAAGAAGGTAACTGTCTTCTAGTTTTAGTTTTGCTCAGTTTTAAATATATATTTTTTTATATAAATAATATTCATGTTGACTTTAGAGCATATATGTACTGAACATGTTTTTATTAAGTTCTTGGTAGTTTTTATTTTCTCAACTTTCATTTTCTATATGATGTAGGGTGCATTTGAGCTTGGCTGCTCAGTTTGCCCTGTCGCAATCAAGTACAACAAAATTTTCGTTGATGCTTTTTGGAACAGCAAAAAGTAAGGAGTGAATTATGACATACTAATTTAACGTCCACTGAGACTTGTGTATTTGCTTAGAAAATAAGTTCCTTAGTTGAATCACAGCTTGTGTTTTTCACATCACCAAGAAAGTTCTTGTTGACTTTCACCTTCCACTCTGAAAGAGTAAATATTCTATTTGAAGGCTTAAAATGTTCCTACGATGCTTAAACATAGTCATAATACTTAGATTCCATCCCATGAAACTTGGCCATTGGCTGTGCTTTGGATCCATGATTTTGGAGACACTTACCAACGTTTTGGGGCGTTTGGTCTATTGTGATATGCAGTTGGTGATGCCAATAATATGTTGTTTTGCAGGCAGTCCTTCACAATGCATCTGCTACAGCTTATGACGTCATGGGCTGTTGTTTGTGATGTGTGGTATTTGGAGCCTCAAAATATTAGGCCTGGGGAGTCCCCCATTGAATTTGCAGAGAGGTAAAAAACATTCTTCTCTGGACTTGTAATCAATAACAACCTGCTCCCCCCTGCACGGTTGGTATGGTCTTGTTTATCTCATTCATTTGGATCCTTTTATGCAGGGTCAGAGATATAATTTCTACGCGAGCAGGACTTAAGAAGGTCCCATGGGATGGTTACCTGAAATACTCTCGCCCAAGCCCAAAGCACAGAGAGCGAAAGTAAATCAAATTTAATTTTCTTCTTGCCCTTTTTTTTCTTCAGAATAAAAAAAAAGAAAAAAAAGAAGCTAAAAACAGCTTTTCATCTTCTGAACCCTTTCCTTGTATTTGTGTACATAAGGCATAAAAGCTTATACAATGCAGTTCACAATTGCGGGGCTTATTGGTTATTTTCTTTTGCAGGCAACAAAGCTTTGCTGAGTCCATGCTCCGGCGCCTAGAGGAAAAGTGAAATGTGTTTCTTTCGACTCTTTTAGTTAACTTTTTCTTAGCACAGCGTGCATGTTCTACACTCAATTTCCTCTTCATTCGAGTAACTGGTTTAAACCTGAGAGGAAGCTGCGTTTGATATAAGAAGTAAATGAATAACTTACTATCTTCCTAGCCAGTTGTTTTCTTGAATCACATGATGTACGAAGCTTGGTTCCTGTGGGGTTTACTCAAGATTTTGTAGGAACTTAAAATAGCTGTGTTATCTTTTGGAAAATTCTTGGTCTAGTTTTGTGTCAAGAGTAATTTGAATACACTTGTCAACATAAATGTACACTTTACAACTGTGGGGCAAAATCAAGACTCAGGCAATTGAAAGGGTTTATGGTGCGGGTACTACAAAACTTTGGCGGTACATCAAGGGCTTGTTCTGGGTTGGATTTAGGGCCTAAAATGAAACTAAACCATGAATCAAGATCCATATGGTCAGGATCAAACCCCTTTAAAATGAAACCAAATGACTTGTGACCTATTTGGGAATGTTATGTAGAAAGCAAATGTAAGTGCTTCATGAAAAAACATATACGACGAAATGCTGCTTCAAAATGTACTAAAATAATGTGTGTATCATCTAGAAGCAATTTAGGTTTTTCTAATCATTCTAAAAGTAATCACAAATAGGCTATTTGGTGGTGGTAAACATACTCAGATTTAATTTAAGAAGGAAAAAAAAAAAAAAAAACAGAAGCAAATAAAATAGGTGACCCAAAGAGGACGGAATTCTTATAAAACGAGAGCCTTGACTTTGCTGAGGATGACCCCAACCCATTCCACTTGGCAAACACGAATCATCCAATTAACATATGAACCCAACTTGCATCTGGGTCAGCACACACCAAAGAAAGAAAACCAATTCAAAAAGGGGGAAATTGATAGAGCTCTCACAATCTTTGTCGCACTTTGAGAGTTTACTTAATAATGAAAAGCCTAGGAGCCAACCAAAAACAAGTCAAATGCAAGAATTTTCCTTCTTGTTGATTTGTCCGCCATAAGCTATCGGCCGTTTCAGATTTGATGTAGATTAACTTCACTTCGTCCTTCCATGCAATCATAAAGCCCTTTGAAAACCAGATCCTTTACATGTCTCTCTGTCCGTCTTTGTTTTTTTGGGGCTGACCATCTCTATCATTTGCTCGTTTGGTCGTGCTGGGAAATGTCTCTTTGGCTTGCATTTTCCTCCCTATGATATTCGCCCCAAGTTCTTGCGATATGTAGGTCAACGCAATATTTTATGCATACACAAACGTAATGACTCAGACAAATACGTAATTATATAGAAATTATTGCGTACATGCCGGGTAATGAGCACTGTTAATATTCATAATCATAGCGTGACGGGTTGGTCCTAAACCCTAATATTCAGTACTATAATGTAAACAAAACAACACAATGTCGCACCAGAAAAACACCCCAAGACATGTAGCTCTAATCTTATTTTAACTCTTCTTAAAACTCTAAACCACCTACTCAAAAATTTTCTTTGGGTTTATAAACACAAGTACCGTAAAATCAATGAGTATTTTGTTTATCGACCGCTCAAATGCGTGAGTTGTATCCAATTTGAAAGACGGTTCGTGGAATGCATCTTTTTATGTTGTTGGAGAAGATTCTGAGTTTAAATTTCGTTAACAGATGTTAGTTAGATTAATCAAAACAAAACACAAGATAGCAAAAAAAATGTCCCATTTCCTAAACATGACCCCACTGCATATAGTATTGCCGACGAGAAAAACAGACGAGAACGCAGTTACGCAACCCCATAAAAAAAAATTCCAAAGTCCCAAGTCTTTCACTGCCCCCACTCAGTCAACAAGGTGTCCTCCAGTTCAGTCCACACACACCAGCTCACAAAAAACCTATTGCTTAATTTTCCTCCTCCTCCTCCTCATCGTCTTCTTCTCCTCCATTTAAACCCCTCACTCAACAAAACCCACAAACCAAAACTAATGGCTTTCTCTTTCTCTTTCTCTCTGTCCACACCCACCATACCCACACTCCTCTTCACCCTCTCCCTCCTCCTCTCATTTCTCACCACACCCGCCTCCTCCGCCACCTTCAACTGCTCCGCCACCACCACCACCACCACCTGCCAGTCCCTCATCGACTACATCCCCCAAAACACCACAACCCTTAACGCCATCAAAACCCTCTTCAACATCTCCCACCTCCGCACCCTTCTCGGAGCCAACAACCTCCCCCTCTCCACCTCCTCCCCGACCCAAAACGTAACCGCCCTAAAAAAGATCCTCATCCCTTTCACGTGCCTCTGCTCCAACGGCACCGGCGTCTCCAACAAGCGCCCGCAGTACATCGTGAAGCCCGGCGACAACCTCGACCACATCGCCACGGTCGTGTTCTCGGGGCTCGTGAAGTACCAGGAAATTGCGGCGGTGAATAAAATTCCCGACCCGAGTCTGATTCAAATCGGGCAGAAGCTGTGGATCCCGCTGCCGTGCAGCTGCGACGAGGTGAACGGCGAGAGGGTGGTTCATTATGGACACGTGGTGGAAGCTGGGAGCTCGGTGGAGGCAATCGCGATCGAGTACGGGACGGACCAGGAGACTCTGCTGAGGATCAATGGCATTGCAGATCCCAAGACCCTTCAGGCCAATCAAGTCCTCGATGTTCCTCTCAAAGGTTCTTTTTGACTTTTCACCATTTTTAAAAAGTAATTTGCCTTTTTGGGTTTGGTAACTAAAAGTTTAATCCAGAAAGCTTATGTTAATGAGATTTTGAAGTAAGGGATTATATTTAAAAGAGAAAAAAATTAAAACCTATTTGTATTAATTATAACTAAAATGGACTTACATCACTATCATCATGGTGCTTAAAAATTGAAATTTTGGATAAGCTTTAAGGTGTTTTTATTTTTATTTATTTATTTATTTTATTTAATATTTTAATGGCACTACTGTAAGGAGAGATTGAAAGTTTGTAGACTAGGGAAAAAGATTGACCAAAAGGAAAAACGCTGATGAAAAGTAGATGGAAAAGTTGGAGGGAGGACTTTTCATCCATTTGAATTGTTTGTTAGAGTGGAAATATAAAGAGGAGATAAAGTCAGAGAGATTCTTGTAAGACCATCGTCGGTTGATTAGGCGCTACCGTGCTAGTTTGAGTCGGCTTGCAGTGATGATATCTTTGATTGAAGCTTCCTTTCAAATGTTTTGCAGTATGCCAATTGTTCTAGTTACAGAATGACTGATGTTCCCGATTTTGTTTTTGCAGCTTGTTCATCTTCGGTATCGAATAGCTCATTAGATGCCCCTCTACTTGTTTCCAACAACACCTACGTCTTCACCGCCAACAACTGCGTGAAATGCCAGTGTAGTTCTGCGAGCAATTGGACGTAAGCGCGTTTCTCACGAGTTTGTTATGTTTGCTTTCATTTTTCCATTAGAGGATTCTCACAATCTATGCAAACTTTCATCTCTGCACAGCTTGCAATGTGAGCCATCCACTGTGAATTCAACTGGATGCCTTGCGATGCAATGCCAGGATTCGAGTCAGCTATTCCTTGGCAACACCACGACTTCCGGTTGCGATCAAACAACCTGTACCTATGCTGGTTATACTAACAAGACCAATGTTCTTACAACCCTGACAACACAGTCCACTTGTGCAGGTAAGCTCACTTCACTCTGTTTCATTTTGAAGTTTTAAAACAGGCCTGTAAACTGTGAAGCTTATCGACCAGATTCAATGTCGATACGAATTGACAAAGCCTAGATGACCAGAAATAAGCGAAACCTACACATCAGTGACATCGCCAACATATGCATTTATCTAAATTTTGAACTTGCTAACATCTTTTCTTTGGTTGGCAAACAGCTCCTCCTCCTGATAATAACAACGCCGCTTCAAGAATGGGTTTGCAAGGCTCCAGTTGGAGCTTCCTTTTCGCGGCAATTCACTTGGCGCTTCTTTTTCTTCATGTTCTTCAGTGAGACGCCGGTAACTTTTTACGACGACATCGTCCGCCATTTGCTTGTTCTAAGAGGTTGGGGAAACAGAACTACAATGTAATTCTTCTGTACATCTCTTAATGGAACCAGAAAATATCAAATTTATTGACAAAGCACCATCATGCTTTTCAGAGGGTATAGTTTTGTACGTTTTTTTTTTATAAAAAAAAATGTAAACAACGAAATACAAAAAAACATAGCTTGGTATAAGTTTGGTAGATAAAACAAGAAAATCTTATTCAGTCAAATTTCACGAGGTAGAAATTCCCCATATTTATACAAACAGGTTTAGGCCTAGACCCTAAGCAATCACATAAAAGAAGAAAATAACAAGATTAATCGATGACCTAATTAGGTACACCATATGAAAGATGCACATTCGCCCCAGGAACAAACCCGGCAGAGTAAAAATCCATTGACATGTCTCTGATCACCTCCTTGGGAGGGGCAGTAAATAAGTAGAAGGGTAATTCTGGTCGAGCAGCAACTTTCTTCAGATGATCAACCAAGCTCTGGATTTTGTCCGACGGATGAAAAGTTGCCTCCAATGTGTGATTATCAGGAAACCTAACCCTAATCACAGCCTTGGTCAACCTTGACCTGCACTTTGCCTGCTCTGCCTCCCTCATCTTCTGTGTTTTCAAAAACTTGTCTTCCTTCTTGGTCTTCCGAAGCCGGTAATAATCCTCTGCGGTGAACTCATAAAACCCATCTGCACCCTCCTCAGTATTGCGCTTGGCTTCTTCGGCCACCGTGTGATGAAGGTTGCCGATGAGCCGCCGTCTTTTGAAAGAGATTGGAGAAGAAACATCAGCCATTGTTAGAGACTTGAGACTCAATCCAACAAATTCAACAAGAAAATCAAATACGGAGAGAATTGCAATTCGATGTTGTATATAGAGAGAGCTTAACGGTCGGCAGCATTTTCTTTCCTTTTCCCGTTGGTAATAGGAACCAATAAAGTTTATTTATTTATTTTTATTCCTACTCTAAAAAGCTTTCCTTCTTTTATTTTTATTTTTATGAACATTACTTCTTAGTATAAGTATATATTTGCCACAATTAAAAAAATAACTAGGTTTGGAAAAAATAAAATAGCTTCTTTGTTCTTATGGTCACCAACACTGTCTTCACAATTTGGATAAATTTTTACTAAGCTTTTTATCATTTCAATTTTGTCAATTTTAACATTAAGGACAAATTCTTGTGTTTCGTCAATTGAATGAAACAAGAATTAAGATTTGTGTAGTTTGTTTCGATTTTTATTAACATAATTTGATTCGATATCCGCTGCATTTCTATATACATACCACTTAAATATTGTTACATTTAAGCTACATGTTGTTCAATTTTCACTCAATTACAAGAGCAAAATCTATCAACCAAAAAAAATTACAAGAGCAAAATCATTAAAATTAACACTGCACAATTACTCTTGCAATTTATCCGTTTTTTATTTTTTTATTTTTTTTATTTTTTTTAAAACTGTCATAATCTAACCACGTGAAAGTTATTTTACACATAAACCAAAAAATAGAAAAGAGGTAGGTAGGTTACACGTGGAGTGGTAGTTACATGGCGAGGCTAGACAGTGACGTGGCATGTGCTTGAATTAAAACTCCTGAAGAGCAATGATTTATAACAAAGACCTCGTCGCGGTTTGGACTTGCACTATTTGCAGTAAGGTTTTGTAAACCCAACCGCAGACCACTTGGGCCTCTTTCAAGTTTAAACCACTCTCTCTCGCCGGACAGGGAGGACCGTTGGGCGCCATCTCTCGATCCTCAACCAACCTTGTTTTCCTCCTCTTATTCTCTCTCCACAACCCTAAAAATCTCACTCTGTCACTCACTCACAGCACTCTATACAAAGGTAACTCCTTTATCTTATCCTCTTCTTTACTTTTCGGTTTTTTTGTTCTTGGTTCCTTTGCAAATTTTCCCGGGAATCAAACGGATTGTTCTGCCCACTCCTTCTTCATTTTCCCAATTGCTGCCGTCGCTTTATTCTGTGTAATTGCGTGGTATGTACGCATTTATGCCAATGCTTTGCAGTTATATGCTCTGTTTTCAAATGTGCTTCAATTTCTTTTCCCGAAACAGAGTATTGGTTTTCACGGATATGAATTATGTATAGCATTCAGTGTTTGGCTGTCTAAAGTTGGTTCTTTTTCTTGGTTGATATACAATTTTATTGTTACATGATTGAGAACTAAACTATATTGATATCAAACCCTTCGTATTAGGAAATTTTAACTTATAATTTGGTTTTTTGGTTTAGGTTTTGAAGAAATTACAATACTTGGTGAAAATGGCGGCTACCCAATTCAGAGGTGGCGCACTTTCTGGCGGATTAACCACTAGAGCCAGTGACCATAACCCAACAACTAAGAAAGCAAGGTTGTTTAATTCATTGAACCAAAGCGAAGCTGGTAAATTTGGAGCACTAAGTGGTGGGAAGGATTTGAGCAATGCCAATGTTGTGGGGGGCTGTAGTCTGTCTGCTACACACAGAGCACTGTGCTCCCCGCTATTGACACGTCGCCGAAGACCCTGTTTCCCAGTGGTGGCTAATCAGTTGAGTTCTGATGTTGGTGTCGGTTCCTCTGAGGTTAAGGAAAAGTTAGCTTTAGAGGAAGAGCAAGCTCTCATAAATGGAGGGAGTGATGACCTGTAAGAACTTATAACCTACATGAACTTGTTATGTGTGAATTTGTGCTTTTATTCTTTTATTGTTTTGGGACTTTTTTTTTCTTAATTGATGCTCTTACTTTCATTAGTTTGACATGATTTCTTCTAATATGCGATATATTTTTCTTCCCTTCATAATTGGACATAAGATAGGCACGTTAATGGAATGGACTGTTATGTTTCCGTAAACTACTTAATACTGATCTGCCTACGCTGAACTGCCCATTTTCCTTGCACAGAGATTCATATTTTTTCAAATTTCTTAGAAATTTATCATTTTGTAAAAACTCTGGTTTGTTAGAGTGAATGGTAATATGAACATGATAGCTCTGGGTAAGTTTTTCTACTGTTGATGAAAGCCAGTCCCTCCCTTCCTTTGTCCTTCTTGATCTTACAAGGGCAAGCAAACTGATGTTGTTTATTTTCACTTTATCTTGATATGTGAAGCTGATATGAGAAACATTGCTAACTGATTCTTGGTCCTGTCTATTTCAGTGAGTGGCAGAAATTCTTATGATTACTCTTAATTAGTTTTAGGTGATGGAGAATACAAGATTTGATACCTATCTTAAACATTGTTTTATGCTTGTTTTGGGTAAATGATTCTTCAGTACCTCTCTATCGTTGAGCAACATTCCTATCAGTCAAACATATTCTCCAGATGTCAAACGTGAGCTGTTGATGCTTTCTTTACCTGCAATTTTGGGTCAGGCCATTGATCCCTTAGCACAGCTAATGGAGACTGCTTACATTGGTAGATTGGGTATGTTTCACTCCTTTAAATGAGTTCAACGACTAATATTTGTATAATGTATTTAAATTTGGAGCTTTTATTCAATGTTTTTGGCCTTTTTGTTTTTCCATAGGTTCTGTGGAGTTGGCTTCAGCTGGTATTTCAATGAACATCTTCAATTATATATCAAAGCTATTTAATATCCCTCTCCTCAGTGTTGCTACATCTTTTGTTGCTGAAGATCTTGCAAAGAGTGAAAGTATAGCTTCTACTTCAGGTGAAGTTTAACTTTTTTTAATTCCTTGCTCATCTCTGTTGGACATAAATTTTGGTTAGGGTTCATGTCTAAATTAGAGCATAGGTGACTTAAAATTTCTCCATTCGTAATCTGAATTCGGCTAATCATTGTACAGAAAATGGTTGTCTAGGAGACATTACTAATGGTAAACCCGAATGTACTGATGGAGTAACTGAGAGAAAGCAGCTATCTTCAGTGTCTACAGCTTTACTATTATCGGTAGGGATTGGGATTTTTGAGGCCGTAGCCTTGTCTTTGGGATCTGGATTGTTTCTGAATATGATGGGCATATCAATGGTAGGTTCCCTGATCTAAAATTACAGCTCATACTGATTTGTTATCTGCCTCTTCTTATCTTTCTTTACATAAACATACAAACATATGTTTTCTGTGTGTACTGTGTACATACACGTTTACGTATTTATGTGAATAATTACTATACAATCTTGTAGGTCTAGTGTATGTGTGGTTACTTAACAGGTGATAGTATAACTTTCGGGTAATTTTATTTATTTATTTGGGTCTGGGTGGGGGGAGCCATAGATTTTCTGTTTCTCTTCTCTCAAGTTCTTGGCTTTGAATTTTAAGCAAGATTTTTCTTTTTTCTTGAATATCACAGGACT